AAATGATGCGCAAATTATGGCCGCGTGTTTTTTTTCATACGACACGTGGCCAAAAATACCGTAATTTCCCGTGTGAAATCAATTTAATGCAATTTTTTCCGTATTCAATTGATTAGTTTTATATTACAAAATATGTCGGCTTCTTCTTAAATTATACTAAAACACAAAGTGACAAAAGGCAGAAAAAAATATTTACGAAAAAAACACTTGCAAATTATACAAATTTTAACAAGAAAAAAAATATACACGAGATGCACATAGAACGTCTCAGTCGAGAGACGCCGATAAATGAAGTGAGTGACTATCTTCGACGACACAATGCGGTCGGTGTGATTAAAAATTGTGCGTGGTCAACTCTGTCGTTTGAATCTCTCTCGCTCCGTCTCATATGAACGCCTTGAGTGCAAATGGTTGCCATTCGATTGTGCAGCTATTGGAATTGAATGCGAGAGCGGTACCAATGCGAAGTGGTTGATTGTTCAGCGTGTGACAGTTTATCGGCCGCAATTTCAATTCCCTTTCTCTGTATGTGTTTATTTATGTGAGCGTGAGCTCACAAGAACATTGTGCCGTTCATGCTATTTGCATAGTCATTGCCTGCTCTTCGGTTCGTGTATTCGACACGACAGAGTCGCCTGAACATAGGCACACACTTTGAATGGAGAGAAAAAAGCGATAAGCGTATTCGCCGTGTGTTAAAAAAAAGTATTTTGTGTTTTGATAAAGAAAAAATGTTCCGATAAAAAAATGAAAATTGATGATCGAGAATTTTGAAATTGATTAGGAATTTAAATATTCTATGCATTCAGTGTGTTTCGTTCGCTTTGTAACACGGTTTTTTTGGTTTGTTTGTGTCGATAAAAAATGAAGCAGGACAAATGTCAACGAGAAAACCATAACACGACCATTTTTTTACCGCTGCCAAAACAATCAAATTCCAATTTTAAAAAATGCTCATTCCTTTTTTTACCACTTCGTCTATGATTTGTTCTATGCATTTCATATTTTTTCTGGTCGTTTTTGTGTGTTGCAAACATTAAATTTTTTTGTCACCGTAGTTTTTTTTTTTGGTGTTCAGTATTTTGTTTCGAATTAATTTCACTTTGTAGAACATTGTTTGTCTATCGCTTGAAATCAAAGAGAAAAACGCATCGCGTAGAAATTCTCCAAAAAAGTGAGTAAAAAAATCTAAATGTTTAAAAAAAAAAATCTGTCGTAGAACACGTGCTGCATAGAATCATATAATGCAATAGTGAACAACTCGTCGATTTGTTTGGAAAGAATAAACAATGTTACGATTGCGTGCAAGTGTTTGTGGATACTTGAATTTCGGCTGGTTTATTGTGTGATTTTTAACAAAATTTCACTTTATCCATTCTTCAGCCTCGGTCACAATACAAATTCGTATTCTTTCTTACACTCGAAAGACTAAATTTTCTAATCGAAACAAATGATGCTGTTTCTCTGTGTTTGTCTCTTGAATTTCGATTTTGCGATTAAGTTACCGCCGCCATCGTTTCATGAGCTAAAAACCGCGTTGAACCGTGCAGAATTTGAGATTGTTTACTTACATACACTGTTTGTTTATCTTTTATACTTTCTCGGACAAAAGCAATGAATTGGTATCAGAAGTGTGCATGCATCGGATTCGTTTCGGTCGTTTATCTGAGCATGAGTATAGCGGAATTATGCAATAATGAGAATTTCTTTCAATGTCATTCGGATAAGAGGTGCATCGACTCATCGTTAAGATGCAATCAAGTATTTGACTGTGACGATCAACAAAATTGCGGTGAGATTTATTGCAAGTTGTGACTAGTCGAATTTTAAGTAAATTTTACACAAATTCCTGAATCGAATTATTGTTATAGCTAACGCGGAATTCATTCAAATGTACATATATTTCAGATTGTTGTTCCAATGAAAAACACGCAAAATGTCATCCCAATCAGTTCCAATGTTCGGATGGAACGTGCATCGATTCGAAGCGTGTGTGTAATGGACATAAAGTACTCAACTTGGAATACAAATCCTTTCACTCTTAATTCGATTTTAACATCATGTTATATGAACATGTTGGTCATTCAATGAAAAATTCCACAATGAAGTATGATTTTTTCTCCTTTAGGATTGTTCTTCAGGCGACGAGGAGAACAATTGCCTGAAATCTGAAACGAAAATTTGCCGCTTAGGTCAGTTCAAATGCTCAAATGGACAGTGCATTCCGAAGGCGTATGTTTGCGATGGAACTGCTGATTGTTCGAATGACGAGGAGAATTGTCTCACCAAAAATGGCACTTGTGGCTCGGACGAGTTCACCTGCCATGACAAAATCAGGTGCATTCGTCATGATCAAAGGTATAAAAAGAGCCAAAACTGAATGAAAGAACCAAATATCGTAGAATTTGATTGAGACAAAAACGATTGTGCTTATTCCAAATGCAATTCGATCATCGATTGTGCCGACGGCAGCGATTTCATGGAGTTTTGACAGAATTCAGTCTGAAAGAAGTTTTTATTTCTTACGTTCATTTCAATAGACCATCATCAACATACAATTTTCATTTTTATAAATAGAAGTCCTCGCTCATTCATATAGATAATTAAGGTTTTCAAAACAATACATAAGCAATAAAAATTGGTTTCAGACTTTAATCAAAGTCGGGGAGCAAATAACACCCAATCCACACTTATTATCTTTAAATTGTCTATCATTTTTTCTTTCTTTACATTTCAGACGTTTTCAGGCCACTTCATTCATTTCGCTCTCACTCAGTCGCTCTCACTTAACCATGATAATTGTTTTATAATTTGGTCCAAAAATAAAAAATGTACAGTCTAGTCAAATGTAATCTTAGTTCATTAAAAAAAAGACCTAATCTTCGAAAAAAAGTTACCTCAGTACTTCTTATGAAAAGATGTGATGTTTTAATGGCAAGGCAAAATGTTCTGAGTCACATATTTCTCCCAACATGAAAACGTATAAAAGAAATTATTATTCAATGCTGACCGACACTTTTCCACTTTCTTTGCGCGATAAGCTGGTACATTTATTGGTATTCATTGGAGTTGTGGTACAAAACAGTTCAAACAGTTTGGTGGATGAATTTTGGTGAAATTTCAAAGCTTAAAAGGAGAACACAAGAAATCAGGTTATTTCATGATTTATTTTCAAGACACAGGTTTTTCAGAGTAGACATTTATCAATCATCATTTACTTTTCAGTATATCCTCTTTAAAAATTGTTTGATAATAAAGTGCAATTGAATCAAAGTAAGTTATTGACGGCCGTCACCGGTGTACTTCACCATTTAATGTTATCACCATATTTGCTTCCCTTTTTAATCATTCCAAATTTATCACTTGCCTCTAATGGAGACGCTTCAATGAAAGTGAAACACAATTTCTGTAGTCAATAGGGAAATAATAAAAACAACACGATCGTGTAACGATTCTTCGCCAATGGTGTTGATTCAGTCACATTTATTTCCAGCCACTCAATTATCTGTGATGTATTAAACAATTAGAATTACAGATGCGCCGCTGTCAGTAATACAATCACTTGCATTTTATGATTTATATTTTTGCACCGAAACATTATTAGATCATTTTCTTTAAATTGATTAAATGCAACTTATGTTGATTCTATTAGAGTTCGTATGTCTCTCCTAGTTTTTATTCTATTTCAGGTAGAAAAAAAAACAATATGGAGCCTTTAGCCACCAGTAAACGAGTACTAACGTGGCTTTGCCTGTTGCCTGCGAAAAAAAACACCACCAAATGGGAAAGGGGATCTTATGTGGCACTTCTTCTGGCGCTTATTGTGTCTGATGTGACTGTTGCCTTATCAAGTTTTCTATACATTCTAAATTTCAAGTCGCACGATTTGCAAGACATTTCGATAGCGTTGTTTCAATTCCTTGCCACTATCCCCGTGGCAAATACAATTATTGTGGCTTTTATCCATCGTCATAAGATACCGGCAGTTCTTGACAAATTATCGAAATTCTATGGAAAATGTACGAAATTTTCTTCTATTCGCCAAAATTTCCTTTTTTTAAATATTGTTTTTTTTTTCGAAAATATGTTTTATGTATACAGTCAGCAAAGATTTTTAAGTAGTAACTATAATGGCGCTGTTATATTTTCTTTGAGTTCAGATAAAGATGATGACTCGCTCCGTTTCTTAACCCAAGCAAATAATAGATCTGAATGGTTTTGGGACTTGTTTTTCAAATTCGTGTTGGGCGGTTTCATTGGCATCTTCTCAACATTGTCGGTTGCATCAGTTCTACTTTGTTTGATGTGGAACGGATACTTCGACGTGGCCCTAGTTTTTCATCCATGTAGATATATGTGAGTGAAAAAAGTATTCTCTTATGATGACAAGTGACAGTGAAAAACTAAAATTGAACGCGTGAGAATAAAAGCCTGACGCTAGCAGGTTTTTCGCAAAAGCGGGATAACAATCATTTGCACGCAAAAGAGACATTTCAAAAGGTTACACGCAAACGGAACATTTTATTTTGCCGCATTTTGAATTTTAAAGCCGTGATTACAACAACAATATACTTCTCTCTTGCGTGCAACCTCTTGAAATGTCTCTTTTGCGTGCAACTGATTTTTATCCCGCTTTTGCGAAAAACCTGGTAGCGTCAGTCTTTTATTCTCACGCGTTCAATTGAACTTATTTTTTAATTTTAAGTTTGCCTTGGGATCAATCAACAATACCCGGATATTTTGCAGAGATAGCTTTCAGCATTCTGACTGCCGAATGCTACATCGTGTACAACGGTGCGATTCTTCTATCATTCGTTTCGATTTGTTTGCACCATCAGGCGTTTTATAATATTTTCTATTACTCTCTCCGTAAACTGGGCCGTCCGAATGAAAAGGAGTTACTTTGCGATCTAGTCGATTTCCATAACTCGATCAAAAGGTGATTAGAGTATAATTCATTTGTTTGATCATTCCAATCCATAATTTTGACAATATTCAAGTTGGTTTTCGGAGACGGCAGACATTTACAGCCCCCATTTCATGGTGCAACTCATCATCAATGTACTGATGTTGGCTATATTTGTATTCCAATTGGATCAGGTAATCATCGAAAGAAATTTAGTGAAAAATCATTTCGGAGCGATGCAGGAATAAGTTAGATGAATGCAAAATAGCAAATTAAAATTACACCAAAATTAGATAATATCAGCATTATGTTCGCTGCGGTCACGAGAATTTACTTTGATAGAAGTTTTTTGTTCTATTAATTCTAAATATATCAGTAATTGGTAGTTTTTTATCTTCTAAACTTAGCAAATTTCCAAACACTTCGAAATCTACGCTCTGTTTCTTTTTCTGTTTGGTACATTGCTCTTTACAACGAACTTATTTCTGTGCTGTTTTTTCGGAAAACTTGCATCTGAGAGCTACAAGCAAATGTCTGACTCTTTGTATGATTACGATTGGCATGAGCTACCGTTGTATTTGCAAAAGCAATTCATCATCATGATTGCCGGCGCTCAGATACCACTTGACTATTATGGATATGGAATTATCACTTTGAACCTGGAAACTTTTTGCGCCGTAAGTTTAATTCAAGTGTAATTCAATTGTTTTTTGGTCATTCGTATTTGATCCGTCGTTTTGTCAATATTGCTAGTTGCTGAGAGCTGTTTATACCTACTACATGATAATCAAGACCTTAAGCACAGAGTGAGCTCGTAAAAACGAGTATGAATGAAGATACGCATGCGATATAAAATGCATTTGTTTCCTAAATAACAATTGCTACGTAAAATGGAACTCTCAAGTGAATTGTTCTATTTTGCTACATTACGTTGGTAGTGTTACTAAAAATATCAGCTAAGTGTCAATTATGTCAGTTAAAAAATTATCAACAATTTAAGAGAAAAAGTTTAATTTTCTACACAATTTTTTTTTGCAAATGTGCACATTTTTTCTATTTTACATTTCAAAGCTTTACACTCTTATACCAAAAACGTTAAAAATTGAAATTGTGTAATTGTCACTGTCAATATACAAACGACACTCAGAATAGCTGAATGTACTAAGTCTAATTAAGCGTGGATTAACCGTTCAAAACATAATGGAGTAATAAGAAGAAGCCGGTGCAGTGCCTAACGGATAAAAATGGAAGTCGTTCTGTTTTTGGAAAAATACGGTCTTATCACAATTATAACAACAAAATAATAATAAAATGAAATTGGAATCATATTTGTAAATATATTTGAATCATGTACTTTTGTTTCATAGATACTCAAAACATACGAAATAAAATTGGCACGATGAAAACAAGCGATAGACTTATAAGAATTGATTCAATAACTGAGACAGATACAACTTTGACCAAAAAATAAACAAACAAAACTTCGAGCAAAAGTGACACATATCAGCATTTTGAGTTGATTTGCTCGCAACTGTATTTGTCTCTTTGTTGCTCAAAGTTTTTTTTCCATATTAGTTATAAAAAAGTATTCATGAAGTGAACTCTCGCTTTGTGCGTGTCAATTGCATATATTCAAAATCTCTCGAATGTAGTTCGATTAAAAAAGGAATCAATATCAATTATGCATAGCCATCAGAATAAAATTCTTTAGGAAGATTTTTTGCCATTTTTACAGCAATTTTCCTCATCATTTGAGCAATCCAAGGCGCCATCACAAACCCAGGCAGTCGGAATACATTGATTGTTTGAGCATTTAAATTCTTCAGCGTTGCAAGATCTGCTCTCTGACTGACGACAGGTGGTTTCAAGCTCATCTTCGCCAGTTGCACAGTCCTATATAGAAAGGGCGAAATATGATTAGAAACAATAAATTATTTAGAAATGGTTTTAGCTTTATTCTCACCTTGAATCCATCACACAATTGATTAGAATCGATGCAAGCTCCATTGAGACACAGGAATTGATTTTGATGGCATTCCGTTTCTTTGTCATAGTCTTTGCAGTCCTTCTCATCGCTGTTATCACCACAGTCATAGTTTTGGTCGCATCTGAACAGAGACAATATTTCAGGTTTTAGTCTTTTTTAATAATAAAATCAATGAAATGTTGCAAAAGTTACCTCATTTTACGATCAATGCACTTGGTTCCATCGAGACAGGTGAATTCATTTGGTGCGCATGTTACGAACTTCTTCTTTTCTTTGCAACTATCTTCATCGCTCGAGTCCTGGCAATTTTTAACTCCATCGCATCTTTCCGCATCTGTTATGCATTCACCCGATCCGCATCGAAAATTGCACATTTCTACAGGTACGCATGTGGTGTTTTTTGCATCGCCAAACACAGTTCCCGGTGTGCATAGACAAGCATGTGTTGTTTTGCCCATTGCAACGCAGACGTGTGAACATCCGCCATTGAATCCATATTGAGCACAAGGATGCTGGGACACTGTTAGTGGTGTGATCGCCAGCAATTCCATATTCATTGGAGTTGGTGATGTGACTGGGTGTTCGACATGCATGCTTTTGG